AAGAAAAGACAATGTCTTTGTTTTTTGTTGTTGTTGTTGTTTTTTTTTAAGCCAATAGCCTAGCTGCTACTAGGAATGGCCATATCCTTCTGTTAATTTATTTGGTGTAATTGCCCTGGTTAGAGCTATTTTGGTCTTTCTTAAATGAACTTAATGAGGAAAAAAAAATCCATTTCCATAACTAAGCAGCCATTTCCATAACTAAGTAAAGAATTCTCAGAATTCTCAGTCTGAATTATCCTTCAAGCTCTGAGTGCAAAATGCCCTGCAAGAAAACCATTTATTTAAAAATATTTCAGTATCTAATAGTTCTTTACTAGCAGAGTACAACCTCACAACTAAAAAAGAACATAACAATGTTATGATCTTTATTTACAAGACATTCTTTGTCCTAAACATGGATTCTCAAAAATACTCTCCAGACTACAGTATTAAAGTTTAATGAGTGAACATTATTTTCCTTACTGATGTCCTCCCTGCTTGTTCACGGGTGTAGACTTCAATATCTGTTAAGTGAATAGGAATGACTACTGCAAGACTAAAGATAACTGCTGCCATAACCCACAAGGGGGGCCCCTTCCCAGTCCATTTTCCCTATAAGCAGATTATTGCCCCTTTCCCTCATCAACACCCAAATGTTTTCTAACTGATTGAACACAAATTTGGTTCTAAATGTCTAATGTCTCTTGCCCTTTTTCTTTTCATTTTTTTAAACATTTTTAGGTGTGATCAGCAATGTCCTTTGTGATGTTCTGCTTCTCAGTAATTGCAAGCAAGGCTGGAACTCTGCAGGGTTTTTGTCTTGACATGGGATCTGCATGTCATAGCGCTGAAATCTGTGCACTTTTCAAAAGAGAAGGCTGCATAACAGCATTACCTCTTTTATTACTACTCTTTTTTTTACAATTGTTTAATTTCTTTGCATTTTTCCTTAAATAAGCTCAATTATAAAGATCCACAAACAAAATGAACATGCTTGAATGTAAAACAACAAAGCTGGGCCCATTTGGATGAATTAAAGAAACAGTTATTGCTGTAAACAGATGATTTGCAAAACATTAATCACCTTTCATTAAGCATTACTGTTAACAACCAAAGTGTTAACAGCATCAAAGGAAAAAAGAAACAAAAAAGTCCTCTTGGATTAATTCCAGGTAGCCATACAGATACTGCGCTCAAAATCAATCAATCAATCAATAAAAATATCAGAAACACCTGGCTTAAAAGTGATTTGGCAGGTCAATCTTTAAGAAACTTCTAGAATTTGCCGCTTCCTCTTCAGTCGTATACAAGAGGGTTAAGTCTGCTCTGTGCAAAGATCTTTGGCATGATCTTCAATGACAAATGACACGCTACCATATGCCAAAAAAGAGGGGAATACAGTCACCCCCAGCCTCCGCTTTAACTGGAGCCGCTTTGTTCCCAGTGCCCTGAATAATTAATAACTACTTTGGCAATCAGTCATGCATTCCTTAATGGCACCTCAGGCATCAAGTGTCCCATTCACCCGCTCCCCCAAGGAACAATGGACTTTATTACCTCCCCTTTCAAGGCCAAACTTTAACTGACATAACTTAAACTAAACAAGCCCGGGAAGGGCTGAAGCCCAAAGCACTATAATCATCTATGAGGTTTCTCTCAATTACTTATAGGTTAGAGCTGCACCTGGGGACAGGCGAGCAGGTGGGGGGCCGAGATGGAGCATGGATGGCATTTGGGATAAAATTCTAGGAGGTTTGATATGATGCTGCCAAATACATGGGTTTTGATAGGAACAGAAACACAGAGCCGCTCAGCCACCCTTGGTGGCCGATGCAGGTCCCCAGTGACCACAGCCTAAGTGACAATGTGCAACGGGGCACCAAGGACAACACTCACGTTGAGCACAGTGCAGGATTTCAAAGCCACACAAACTAGATTCCTTGGTAAGAGCAGACTTCTTCAGTGCTTCCATTTCATTGCATTCCCAAAAGAAACAGAACAACAAAAAAACCCTACAAAGATGTAACAAAGGGAAGCAAAGCAGAGTTAGAACAAGATGTTGGGAAGAGTAAAGCAGCCTGGGCACCGCAATGTGAAGTGGAGGAATCCCTGCAGTCAGACGTGGATAAGGGCTGGCTGCCTCGCTCAGGAACCCTCTGTGTGCAGACAGCTCCCACACCACACACCACAGCCCTGCCGGGACGCCTTCCATGAGCTCGTGTTGAATCCAGTGCCATCCGCGCTGCTGGAGCCCTCCCACTCACTAATGGGAGAGGGAGCGCAACCAGATCGATAGTCACTCTCCTGCTACTTACTCACCCTCTGAGAAGTTGGTTTGAAATATGATATACAAAGTAAAATGCATATCAACTATAAACTACAGCAGATTTAAACAAAGCCATTTCTCTTTCTCTTTAAAGGACCTGAAATGTGTCCAGTGCCGCTCTCTGTGTGTGGCCTCCAAATACAGAAACAAGCTTGCACTGTTTTATTTCAGTTTTGCTTCATTTCTCCCCAAACAATCTCTCATTGCTGGCCTACCAGGCCTCTCACCCTCCCCTCCTCTCAAAAAGGGAAAAAAAAAAAAAAGAAAAAAAAAAGGGAAAAAGAGATCTTTAACTGTTTAGGACCAATTCATTGAAGTGGATCATTGTGCGAGCTGGTGAGTCGGTTATAGCGTGTCAGGGATTATTTATACTCCAGCCATTCCTATAGCTGACATCTTTTGTTTTGGGGAGCTGTACATTTTCATGCCTCTTACAACGTGAGATGATAGAGCATTACAGTGTTAAAGACAAGTACAGCTTCTTGGCGTCAGCTCTCTATACATGTAGGTACCCTGAAGCAGGTCTAATCCTGCAAGGCATCGGGAGCAATGTGCACTGTTCACGATGCGACGTGCAAAGGTTTTCTGCACCCCGAACTGGGGCCGAACTTCTGATGGAAAAGATCAGATCCCTTTTACTGACAGACCTGGGAACTAATCCTCACCAACTGCAAAACCAGTTGTTCCACTGAGCGTTGTGAACCCAGTTCGGAATTCCTCTGGCATCAAGGGGGCTGCTCTTCATTGCCACCTGTGAGGGAGGCAACACAACTTAATTTCTTCTATAGGGCATTTTTAAGTGTATAGGCAGCTCTCATGAAATCAATAAGGATTTAGAAAAAAAAAAGAAAAAGAAATGCATCGGCTCTGTCTTTGTCTACTGAATTAATGTTGATTAAAAAAAAAAAAGTTTTCTGATGATCAAAGGTTTTCTTTTCTTTGGAAATGTTGATTATTTAAGCATTATAACCAGTTTTTCCAATCACATGTAGAAGAACAAATTGAGAGTGTATTTGTACAGCATGGCATAAAGGTAGTTATTATACAAAAAATAGATCGTACATAAATCATAGTACATAGACAGACATGTAGCAGGTGGGAAGTAGTATTAGACAGACAGCAATGAAATCTGGTATTTGTCCACACAAAACATCTATTTAGGGATTTTCTCTTAGCATCTTCTAAAGTATACATACTGACTACATTCTGCCCCCAGGTGTACAAACCTTTAAAGTTGGTCCTCTTCCAAGTTGGTGTGGAGATTGATTAAAATCTTTTTGGATTCCAAAATTCATCATTATCAGGTCATACATATTCTACTAAGAAAGGATCTAACATGAACAAAGTCAAGTATACATCTTCCTTATTTTAGGAATTTTAGTTTTTAAGTAGCTAGACCCAAACTTTTATAAATATTTAAAGAAAATACAGCAGGAAATAATGAGTATATAGTACCACACTTCACAGAGATCATTATCAGTGTGCTCTCTCTATATACTCTATGCAATATATTATATATACACAAAAGGTTAAGTACTACTGAAAAGATGCACATAATTGTTCTTTGTTTCTTCTCAGTAACTCGGGCCCTGCAAACAGAGGAAAGACACAAATGGCAAAAGCAGCAAGAGCCAAATGTGTTCTGAGGGGAGCGCGTGTCAGCAGGGTTACACGGAGTCTTTTGATCAGCTTTTTATTGAGCTTGCAAGTATTTTCCATCAACCAAATACCACGGACCACAAGATGGTTTAGAGGTACAAAGTGAATTAAGAGAACTTTATATATATATATATATATATATACACACACATTTATTAAGATATATATATATATCTATTTATAGATATATATATCTATATATAACTTTTTTTTCTCTTACTCTCTTTATTTTCAGAATATCTATTCTAAAAGAAGTCAAATCCTGTTCTGCTTTACTCTGATGTTTCAGACCATTACCTAATCCTTGAAAAATTTACGAATGTTGTTTTTGCCAGCATAGAGATCGCACTCGGTGAAAAATAAAAAAGAAAAGGTAACAGAAACCTATTGACAATTAATAGTTACATTTTAGAGATACAAGTGTTTATGGAGCTGGGATTACAAGTACCAAGCAAGAGAACTCCCAAGTGCTTTCCCCCCCATCCCAGGAAAAGCCAATGGAAACCGAGTAGCATACATTGTCTGCTATGTCACCGTGATGAAACAAGTCATGTTTGAAACACAAAATACAAACTTCTCCGTATTTAACGGGGTATAATCATTACAGCTTGCAGAAGATCACTGCCTGCTTCTACCGGCAAGTGGCTAACACTAGTTCCATTTTTCAATACTTCTTTTTCTCTATTTCCTAATAACTCTTCAACTGTCATGCAGCTGATTGTTATACGGCCTTTTTCCCCCCTCCTTTCCCAAAGCCAGCAGAAATGCCTTTTTCACAGTGCTGCATTAGGAACGCAAACATTTTATTGAAGTTTCCAGACAAACAGCGGAGCCCACAACTTCCCAAGCCAAAGCCATCCAAGACAAACCGCAAGCACACTCCGTTACAAAGCAGAAACAGAATGTACAACTTTGGAAGACAGATCGTTCATTATTATCATTAAGAAATAAACAGTAGCTAGTTCTAAACAATTCAAGGATTCTCTTGAGCTACTACTTCAAAGATTTTGTTTTACTGAAATATATTACTTACTGGCACAAGAAGCGTATAATGGATGCAGAATCCAGGTTCAGAAGGAAAATATTCATCAGACACAAATCTTATTCTGATTTGGTTTCCTTTAGAGATTTGTCTGCTTGGCACAGTACTGGAACCACACCAGCGCCCTAAAACGGTGCCGTCACTTGGCTCTTCAACCTCTACAAAGTCATACCTGGACAGAAGAGAAAATCGTTTATGAGTGTGTTTTGTTTGTTCCTTTTATGGAAAACAAGCACAACATGGGATAGCACCGAATAAAGTCAGAGAAAAAAAAATTAAAAAGGAATTGCTCAGTTATGACACAGTAACTCACACTGCAATATCATGGACATACTCAATGTGCCACCAGTGAAAGTTTTTTTTATTATTATTATTTTATTTTATTTTATTTCGGCTGCTGAAAATTGCCTGCTTATAGGAGCGCTCCAGGCCAAGAGGGTAAAGTGGTTAGGGAAACTTTTCCTACAAGGCTTTTCCTACCGGCTAGGACACATTTCAAAGCCGTGGATCCCGGTGGGACGTTTGTTGAGCAAAGGCCTAAATGTACCATGTATCAGAAAGACTCTGACATTCTGGTTATACTGACAAGAGATATATAGGTTGAGAGCTTTAAAAAAGTGAAACATATAAGGTTTGATTTAGTTTAATTGTTTTTTTAATGTGTGGTCTGGGTGTCTCTGGGGATCTGCGAACAACTTCAAAAAGCTCCATGAAAGGTAACTAAAAAAAGCAGGTCAGTTGGCATCAATAAGCCTAAATCTGCTATGGAAAGGTCCTCGCTTCCATTGGAAAATGTCCAGGGGTTGTCAGGCCATAAAAACGTTGGAAACCACGGCTCTAGAAGAACGCCTGGTCCCAATACCCCAACCTGGTCCCTGCCAGCTGCCCCCGGACAGGACAAACAGGGGGAACTGAGGCCTCCTCCAGGTGTAGCTGGGACAGCCCTAGGCCGTCACCGTCACCGTCACCGTCACTGTCACCGTCACCATCACTGCCACCGTCACCGTCACCGTGGCAGCAGGGCCAGTACTCCCGAGCCATCACTTATCCTAGCCCATGGCTTCCCAAGGACAGGCAGGACACAGGCCTGGCAGCGTTTCCAGCTTCCTGCATCTTTACGGTCTTTTCACATATACAGTCACACATTAAATATCTCTCTCAAAACAATCCAAATTGGTCATTGCTACTGAACAGTCCCACCTCTTATGATAAGCAACTGCTCGTATTTTAACCCCCTGCCCCGTACACACACACTGCTAAACATGCCAAGTAATATTTAATGTGAACATTATTACCTCATAAACATTTTCTACTGAAGCGTTTTCTGGATTTTTTTTTTCAGTAAAGCTAATCTTTCTAATGATTCCCAGTTCCCTGGTTAGACAGCAGGCAGTAAATTCTTGTGTTGCATGTTTGTGCAAGTCAGACTTGTACATTTATTATCTCCATTTAAAGGACCAGTATTTTTTTTCCATTTAATTAAAAATGAATGCAATGACTATGCCCATTAACTGTGTTCAAAACCCATTACTGCCATGTACCAGAGCTTTAAATCTTGTCGAACTTATGATACTAATTACTTTATCACCATTTTCCCCATATACTAACATGACTTCTTTAACTGATCCAGCAGTGAAATTTTATGATAAGGTATACAACTTATTACAAAGGCAATGTTTACATTAATTGTACTTCAGGTTTTGGGCTGCCTGAACATATTGGTTTTGAGCTTTTTTATTATTTTTTTTTTAAGATTATGTTATGAAGTTTTTTTAGAGAGAGAATCATTTTTTCCTGACTATGGAAAAATAATTCCTTACCTACTTTCCTGTTTTGGAAAGCGTGAACAAGTCAAGCATTACATTTATTCAAATTTAAAGATTTTGTCCAGAAATTCAGTGCTTCTACATAGCTCACACACTACTCTCCCCTTGCAGCCTTTGGTTTTCTAGCACTCCAGGAAGAAAGAGCAGCTCAAATTCCACACAGTTTAAACCGTAGACCTTAAAATGAAAGCTAATGGTTTCATTAGTTGAAAGCTAAGAAAGAAGAGTGTTTTTGTTTTGTTTTGGTAAAACCCAAACAAAACTCAGCTTTCGACACACAAGACAGGCTTGTCAAAGTTATCTGTTTTTTTTCTTCTTCTTATATTCAGTTCTTCTCTCCTTGATCATTTCTGCAGCATTTGCAAGCAAGGTGCCCTTTGTAATCAAAATGCTTTTCAATTTGATGCGATACCTTCATCGAGAGGCATCTCGATGACTTTCCCTTGCCCTGCTGCTGTTCCCATAGGAATCCCACCTGTTCCCAGTGATCAGCATGGAGACACTCCGGACACGGCAGAGCTCGGGAATGTGCACAACTGCCAGGAGCCCCATCTAGGGCACTTTCTGCACCTTCCCCATGAGCCGACCCAAGCCAACTTTCTCGTGGCAATATGATCCAGCACACAGAGCTCCAAGCGGATTAGGATGATTCCTCCCTTTCTCTAACCTCTCCCTCAGGACGTATGGAGGATTTATGTTCTTTCATGTTCAACAAACAAGTCTGGTGTTGTAGACAAAATTTCTGCTCTCAAAAGGAAATATATGACATGCAACTACCGTGTTTTTTTTTTTTTTTCCTCTTGAACTGATGTAGGTGGAGCTTCCTGCACAAAATGATAATTACACCATCAGAAAAAGGAATCTTTAGATATTCCATCTTCACCAACGGGAAAACAAAACCAAACCTACCCCCAGATGTTTCCTAGCTATCCAATAATTTCTATCCATTCACTTTATTCCTGTCAATTACCTGGACTGAATGAGCTGCAAGAGCCAGCCAAGGAAACCTTCTAAGCAGCTACAAATTCCTAGCATTGCACGAGCCGACTGCGGTCTGAACTTGCCGTGAAACACCCCAAAACAAGGGTTACGGCACCTCACGGCTTCCAGGTTGTGCTGCCAGCTCAGAGGCTTCACACGCCGGGGCTAAAACAGCGGGGACAAATCACGGCCGTCCAAAATCACCTCCCCACCAAGCAAATCCTAGAGCTGAGAGCCAAGGAAACAAGGATCCAAGAACTGAGTGAGCACTTTCAATCTGTACTGGATTCAGAAAGGTTTAAAGCACACTCACTAGTTATTTGAAGTAAACAAACAGCTATGAACAAACTAGAGAACATGAAACTCTATCAAAATGACCAGAGAAATGAACTCATGCTGTACCTGAACAAAAACTCTTTTTGAGCTACGAACAAACTAGAGAACATGAAACTATCAAAATAACCAGAGAAATGAACTCATGCTGTACCTGTTTTCTGGGCATTATTCAAATATTACTAAGTAGAATTGAGGGCTATGGGCAGCTGTCTCACCTTTGCTGGCATGAAAGGTATCTTTGCCTTTAGTCATGCAGGATCAGCCCCTAATACTCTCCCTGATACCTGGTGCTCAGCACACATTCCTCTCCTCTATCATCTAGATGTTGGAGACCATAGATAGAACTAATAACCTGTGCAAAGAATTTCTTTAAAAGAGGAAAAGCAGCAATGTAAATGACTCCAAACTTCAAGGGCTTGCCAGCCAGGAAATGTATTTTCCAAGGGATTTTTTCCCTCTCCTTTCTATATTTTTATGTGGTTTACACTGCCATTTGCAAAACATATTCTGACAGGCTGTTTACCTTGGCCTACAGTTCTGTGACCTTTGCATGGCTTCCCTCTGCCTTCAAAATTCCACAAATCCATCAATGAATGTAAGAAGCAGAAACGCACATGGTTAAAAACTTTGTTATATCAGAGATGCTAGATTTTTTCCATCTCAGTACAGATCTGTGCTAGGCAAAATCAGTATATCCATTAAAACAGTTTGGGAAGGGTGAAGGGCATTTTTCTTCCTCCTTCAATAAGCACTGATTTTTTTTTTTTAATGAAGAATTAAGGTGTTGATAACAATTCTTGACATTAATTCTGCCCGCCGTGGGACACTGCCGTATTTCGCCTCATTTCGGAGTGTGTGGAAGCCCGTGGCACATTTTCATGGTGCCAGGAGAGCCCATTGAACTGCCTACCTCAAACCCAGACCAAGAGCATCCAAGCCAGGTGGTCGCCTGGGGTCCACCAGGCAAACTGCTTTTGAACAGAACTTAGAGGCTTTATAGTTGTGGGGCAGCTTTAGCTTTAGAAACATTGGAAGTTAGTAGAAATGGTCATCCTGAAAACATTATTTTGGTATTTTCCTAAGCACTGTCATTCCGAAGGAAAATTTCCTCTCCCCAACCATCTTACTTTCAAAGCATTTTCATTTTTGCTCCTGAAATCTTTCCATTTTCTGCGGAGCAAAGACTTTCGTTTCAGCACTGGGCTCAGCTGTGTGTTTGTGCAAAGCCAAGTGTGGGAGCAGAGCCCGGGCGGCCTCCAGCAGAAACACGGGGGACCAGGGGACCCCAAAGCCTCTGGCAGGGGGCAGAGGGAAGGACGAGGACCCCTAGAAAGGAGAAAGTGTCAAGAGAAAGTGTGTTTCAAGCCACAGGCTTGGCCTACCCTAACTTTATAAAAACACACACCTAAAAAGAAGGGTGTACTGCTCCATTCATTCAATAGGTGGAGAACTTTCTTCTTTTCTATTGTCAACACCTCTTCTTTCACGAAGCCTAAAGTCTTCCCTCGAAACTGAGAGATACAAGACACACAAAAATCAAGATAATAAATACAATTGGGAATAGCAAAACCGTGTATTTCCGCACTGCTTTTCCAACTTGTGCAGAAGGAGATCTTACTTTGGGGATTTCCCTCCCCTCCTCTAAAATGGCCAAACCATGCCAGGTAACACAACCACGGGCCGCCCAAGTCTACTCACTTCTGACCTGCTTATTTAATTCATTTGCCTTTCACTTCACATCATATTGCTATCTGGCAATAAATACAAAACTCCCTATCTCTTCCCTTTCCAAAAGGAGTCCTAAGAGAGGTACCTAGGCCATTCGATTCCAGTTATTAGGGTCACAACATGGGCAATTACTCCCTAGCCTTCAGCTTCTTTAACAGACTTGGTAGTGCTTTTCACTATGACAGGGAACCCTATGAAGGTCATTAGAGATTTACCAATAGTTGGAAAGAGCCGTGTTCTATTTCTCAAGTCACAGTTTCTACCACGCCTGATGTTTTAAAATAAAAACAGAAAATGTGTT